CCTAGAATGCCTGCAGTTTTACACAAAAATCCATCAAAATATTATTTTTCCTTAAAATTTTGAAATATTTTTACTTGTTGTTGTATTTTTATTTGTTTTGTAAAAAAAAGTATGTACACCACTGCGGCAAGTATTTTTAAAAATTGACGCAACTAACCAAGATTCCAAAATGGTATAATACTTTAATAAAACTAGGCGCCAAAAATATTGGTACCATTTCTAAGAAAGATTAAAATTCTTGATTATTGTTCTTGTTCATAATAATCACTTTTACAATGTGCCGAAAAAAGGTTATGTGTTGCAATTTCTTGGAATTTCAATGGCACGTGTGCATAGTCGATACAATTTAGAAATTCCTCCAATTCACAGTCCAAAGTGATGCCAGTGAATACACCTCTTTCAATGCGAGGTATCAATTTTGAGGCAATTCGATAGTCCTCCATTTTAAAATGAGTTTTTGTTACAAATTTGCTAAAGAACGTTATGTTCAATATGAAACGACTACTACCGTTGCGCTTTGGGGCTAAAAAAGTACTACAAATGTATTGATGTTTTTACAGCACTTTGTCATTGCTCCCAATTCATAATTGTGATATGCAATTTTTTCTATTGTCGTCAGACGGTTAACTAATGCCGGGTATTACAGACTGGTGTTGGTACCTGTTTACATAATGGTATTGCTGGCAAAGCTGCATTTTGGTTTTGCAGGAGGCTGTCGCCTAAAACCATTAACGATTAGAATTGTATTAGATAGATAATTGAGTTTTAACTACGGCGTGTTTCGTTAATACTTATTAATTGCACGTATGTGGGATTTAAATTGAAATAACTCGTAGTTGATTTCTTATCGCAGTTAACTCATGGTTAACCTCAACTTAATTTTATTTTACATATACTTTTCTTAGAACAATATAATTATTAAAATTGGCTCGTGGTCGATTTCATTATCACGGTTAACTCACGGTTAACCCTGACGTAATTTATTTAAAATTAACTTTACTTATTAGCACGTAGGTACTAATATTGCTCAAATTAAAATCGACTTGCAGTTGATTTCATTATCGTGGTTAACTCGCAGTTAACCTCGACGTAATTTTATTTAAAAAAATTACTTGACTTATTAGGACGTAGATACTAATACTGTTCGAATCAAAATCGACTCGCAGTCGATTTCGTTATCGTGGCTAACTCGCATTTAACCCCGACGTAATTTTATTGAAAAAATATACTTTACTAATTAGCACGTAAATACTAATACTATTTCAATTAAAATTGACTCGCAGTCGATTTCGTTGTCGTGGCTAACTCGCAATTAACCCCGACGTAATTTTATTTAAAAAATATACTTTAATTATTAGTACGTAGGTATTAACTTTTTCAAATTAAAATCGACTCGCAGTCGATTTCGTTATCGTGGTCAGCTCGCAGTTAACCCCGACGTAATTTTATTTAAAAAATTCTTTACTTATTACCACGTAGGAAGTGATATTTTTCAAATTATAATCGACTCGCAGTCTATTTCATTATCGTGGTTAACTCGCAGTTAACCCCGACGTATTTGTATTTAAAAAAATATTTGGTTATTAGCATGTAAGAACTAATATTGTTCAAATTAAAAGCGACTCGCAGTTGATTTCATTATCGTGGTTAACTTGCAGTTAACCCCGACGTAATTTTATTTAAAAAATTCTTTGCTTATTAGCATGTAAGAACTAATATTGTTCAAATTAAAATCGACTCGCAGTCGATTTCATTGTAGTGGTTAACTCGCAGTTAACTCCGACGTAGTTTAATTTAAAAAGTATACGTTACTTATTAGCACGTAGGTACTAATACTGTTCAAATTAAAATCAACTCGCAGTCGATTTCATTATCGTGTTTAACTCGCGGTTAACTACAAGGCAGTTTTATTATAAATCATGTAAAATGCACATATTAATATATCTGTTCGGATTTTCATCCACCCATGTTCGATTTGGTTATCGGGGATAATTCGCAGTTTACCCGATGTTTTATTTTATATAGGTTAGATTCACACTTGAGATGTATGAAAGCGAACATTTATTATAATTGCGGAAGTAGCAAGTAGTACTATATATGATAAAAATGAATATTTTCATTTTTTTATTTTCATTATTTATGAGCGTAAGAAAAATCTTACCTTGATCAGTGTCCGATGATATAATGATCCTATAACGCCGACGACGTTTGGCATCTGTATTTTCCAAGTATTTCAGTTTACTTTTATAATATTCGATTTTTTCTAAGTTTGTTCGCTTTAACATTTTAACGCAGCTGTGGAGGTGTGCTTCTTGCCACGCACGAAAAAGGAATGAGGATAGAAAATGGCGGTAGATGCCTGGTAGGGTGTGTCAACGTCAAAACATTTTTTTTCTCTAAAAACCGTGCGGTGTTGCCTAGCAAGTTAAGGAAACTACCTGGTTAAATATTATATCGAGAATGAAGCGACGAAATATAATTACATCGAAAAGTTTTCAATTCCTAGCGATCGATCTCAAATAGGGTTTCTACTCGAGATTTCTCGACTCGAGAAATCCCGGGAAGTCTGACCAACTTCAAGACGAGAAAAATATCCCCGAGAACTTGACAAACCAAATGACGTTTTTAAATTATTAAGAAATTGACTTGTAAATCTTTGCAGACAATGGAAAAGTCCATAGTTTGGAAATATTTCACGAAGAACAAAGATTTTTTTAAACGTGGCATGCATGCCTTATATGTCCTAAACAGATATCAATAAAAGGCTCGAGCACAACTGGTCTTGTTAGACGTCTGTTACGTATTCGCAACATTTCTTTGAATGCATTAGAAGATACAGAGACATTAACTTCTTGTGGTATGAGGTCTTTTTGTTGATTCGTTTTGTAATTTTTTCATAAGACACGTCATTATTTGTAATACTTATTTGTTTGTAATGTGATTTGTTTTATTTTGTTTAGTTGAGAATAATGGATAAATGTTGATTATTTATAAATGTTCCCAAGAATTATGTGGTTAAGCTTGGTTGATTTAATAATAATAACGTTGATCCCATAAATAAATAAACATGTTTCATTTTATTATAAATTTTGTTTGTTTTTATTTATGTATGTAGTTGACTAAGATGATTTTTTAGGGTTTTTAAATAAATCTCGAACGACTCGAGAAACCCGGAAAATTGGGCTCGGGAATCCTGAAAGTCGAGAAAAAAAATATATCGAGAAATCAGAAACCCAAATCTCAAAGCTTTGTTCCTGTGTAGTGAACAATTTGTTGGTCTTTGGTATACACATTCAACAGTGATTTGTAAAAGAGCATAACTTTGTGTTATTTCAATATTTACACGTGAGTGCTAAATGTCACACTAAATCGTTAAGCATCTACGGTCATATAATATAATTCAATACGTCAAGAATATGTAGAGCCCACTCTCAAGGATACTAGAATTAGCTACCAATCGATAAATTATATTCCCTTTTAGACTTATGAATGCGGGGGATATACCTTACCTACCCTTCCAGAACAATTTAAATACTCTGGTCGGTCGCAACTCGCTTTTTATCAAAAAGTTACCTCTTTGCAATCGAGTTATGCCGCTTTTGATGTCTATGGTATATAGATTAATGTTTTTTAACGAAATTTACGTATTTATGACGTCACGCTTTTCCGCTAATAGAAATTCATGTATGACGTATAGACATACACAAATATAGATCTAAATAAATTATTAAGATTTCTTTGTTGCTACTCGTTGTGCGTCATCAATTTTTCAACTCGTCACCACATTTGTTTACTGTATAGCGTATTTACATTTATTTGAAAAAAACTAATTGGAAAAGGGTGGAAGCCTGGAGATCTGTAACACAGGTATATTTACCTAGTATGGACTCCACACTGTTGCTTAATGGTACTTGACTTGTACGTTAACTTAAATAATAGCCAATCTGTAATTACATAAACCTCACTTTTGTGAGAGTGAGAGTGAATTAATATCTTATCTTATTATCAGCGAATAGATTTGACTCCCATCTTCAAGCGACTAAGATTATGACGTCCTCAGGTTCGGCGCGTATTGTGTGGACTCATTTCATATTTATGAATATCAGCATCAGCTATCATACGGAAGTTGCACGGAACACGTAATATAATACTATTTATAATGTTCTGCCATTGGAATTCCCAAATTCATAGAAAAAGTAAAAGAAATACACTTAATATATAAAAGTTATTTAAATTGTATTTGCAATGAATCGCTTGCATCAGACTTTTAAAATACAGTACAGTGTTGCCACATTATAAAAGCATACCACGTTTAATGATATTGGTTAGAGATTCAAACTTGAAATGTTGCCAACAATATAAGTCGAACGGATCACGTGTTCGAAAGGCACAATTTCTCAGATCTAACATAAATTAGGCACTGATACCTACTTCTAATGACGAAAGACCTTTAACTATCTTACTTTGCATCTTACAAAAGGTAGAGTAGTCCTGAACTGGATCATTTATGAACTTATCATCACTGTACGTTCAAAGTAAAAAGTCGAGTATTACGAAGGCTTTCTCCATTTGATAATTGTACTTTCAAAGTAAAACGTCGAGTATTACCAGACTTTCTCCACTTGATAATTGTGTAAGGGTCCCCATAGACAGAGCCAGATTTCCCTAGGGAACCATCGTGACGGACAATGCCGTCGTTGGATAGGAAATTATACACTACAGAATATATTAAGTTTTATTGTTACAACACAAAGTTCGAAACAAATAGTTCTTCCTGTCAGTGACGATTCTGAAATAATTGGTGACGATCTTCTCCGAAGCCTTTGATCATAAAAAAGTCAAAGACGACAGCTTTGACATTCTCATGCGATCTGTCATGTAAAATTTTTTGTGTTCCTATTCTCAGTGAATTGAAATTAAATTTACTTGTACATAATATACTCAACTTGACATAATTTTTTTTAATTATGGTCTTGGTGTAACGTTAAATTCCGTGTCAGGATGGAGGTGGGGGTGCGATTGATGGGCATCATCCTCCGATTGCTGAATCTCCTACTGGCGCCATTGTTTTGGTGGCGTGGAAGACACCAAGGGTCGCTGCCGCCACCGCCGTCGCCGCTGTTACTTAAAAGCGCCACGGAATTGGCTGCTGCTATCAGAGATGGAGAGGTAACATTTTTTAATAATTACAGTAAATACACTTTATCGCACACACGGAGACAATATAGCAGCAACAATACAAAATATGGTGGGAAATGTCGGCTTATTGCTAAATAGCAATCTCTACCAAGCTACATTAGGTTAGAAGAATGGAACGATGCCATACACGCACGTCATAGGTGTCTTTAATAGTAGAATTCTCTTCTACTGAGAATCGTATTGCTTTACGAAATTAAATCTACCGCTACCACTATGGTGAACTAATTTAGAAAAGCTGTATAAAATTAAAGATTTCATATATATGTTTATGTTATAGGCATGTAATGAGTGTTTTTGACTTATAGATGTGATGTGATGATGATGGCCAAAGATATGATTAATTTGAAATAAAATAACTTTAAATGCAAATATAAAATAGGTAGTTATTTTTATTTTACATTACCGGTAGCGTGCCTGTTATTACCATGTTATTACAGACCTATTTTTGCAGAGACTACACGGTCTTAAATACTTAATTTAGGGGCCTCCTTATATTTATAAATATATTTATGATAATGATAATTAATTTGACCATACATTTTATAAACATAAACCTCCAACGTGTTTGCATTACTACTAGCTCCATTACTACTCGAGTTGTTAAATATCTTACCAAATTCAACAGTCGTCTCGAAATTATTTCCCACGAGTGTATCTGGACATACAATTACGTACGTACCTATAGAATATGTAGGACTGCATGGACTTACCTATTTCACTACAGGCGCACACGTCGGCGTCGCATCTATGGTAAAAGTATTATCACAGGTAACATGCGACAATCACAAAACTATGAACAGCTGGCTCTTTACACGTCAGATTTAAATTGAATTTGCGTAAGTATGTCGCTTATGTCGCTTGCGGTAAGTTGTAAGCTGAGCAAGCTGTTGGCTCTACTTGTGTTGGGCTAGAGAGCTAGAGAGTTTCATGAACCTTTCAAAAACATTTTCACGATTATTCAATGGTTTTGAAATACCTAAAGAATGTTAATACGAATTAGTACGCCGAAATTAAACCCTGAAACCATTTCAAACCATTTTTTCATAAAAAAAATGTGCACCATGGTTTAGCTTTGCTCCAAAGCAAACCCGAACGAAAGTCGGAAATTTGATTATCAGACTTTCCGTCGTTCTAAGCTAAGCTAATTTCGGCAGGTCGACGAAATGCCTTCCGGGAGAGTTTCATAGCATAATTAAACTAGTACGTACACACGTATACTTACATTGATGATGATACCTACAAATTATCAAGGTGTTCTGGTTGTATTCCTCGGAACTATCAGGTACTCGATAATATAGGAAAAATCCGTTGCAAATACTTCAAATTAAATGTTTATCGATAGCAAAAAATTTAGAATTCAGTAGTTAGAAAGAAACGGAAAGATAAAAAAAATTGTTTGTGACATCATAACCTTAAAGGTAACATACATACCTACTAATAATCGTATTGCCTTTAGCACTTTAACATTTATGTTCTCTAATGTACCTATACATCATTTTTCATGCACGTTCATATAAGATAATGCTTATCTCCTAACCTAAAAATAAATTCTCGTTCATATTTGAACAATTGTACCCTAGTATATAGTTTATAATGCAAGTTATTCCGCCGGCTCTCAACTTGAGCTATAACTTCCCTTTGCTGACTTAATCAATTGTCTTCTTTATCAGATAACTAGTGAAAAGCTAGTATCGATATACGTCGATCGTGTTAAAGAAGTGAATCCATATTTGAACGCCGTAGTGGAAGAACGGTATCGCGCGGCCCTTGAAGAGGCTAAGTCTGTGGACCGACAAATTGCCGACGCTAAACAACATGGGACCTTGGATTTGCTGGTGAAAAATAAACCATTGCTTGGAGTGCCTTTTAGCGTGAAGGAAAGTTGTTCTCTTGCTGGTGAGTAGGTATTATTTAAATCAATATTTTGCATTCTACGTGGTTACACTCAGTGTTGGGCAAAATTTAATTGTTCTGGCAATTAAAGATTGACAATTAATTAATTGTCAATTGCGAAACAGCAATTATTGATCAATTGTTAGTTTCGAGAACCGCAATTAACAATTAATCAATTTTCAATTTTTTCAATGTTTTTGATTAACAATTAACAATTAAAACTGACAATTATGATAAATTTATAGGGCATAGGGGGTGGGTTAGGGGGTGGATTAGGGGATGGGTTAGTGTTTGGGTTGGGGGGTTAGGGGCGAGTTTGGGAGTGGTTTAGGAGGTGGGTTGGGGTTGGGTTGGGGGTGGGTTAGGGGTGGGTGAGCGGTTGAGTGACCTAATGTGCAATAGGTATGCTTTGTTCTCTCGTCTTTTTAACGAGTCGTGTAATTTTATATTAATAAAAATATTTTTTTGTAAATATCGCGTTACGAAATAATTTGGTCGTATTAACCAAATTATTTCTTCAAAAGCACTTTCACTTGCACTGATCAAGCCCTTGGTTGACGATGCCAAGCATATACAAAGCAAAACTTTTATCAATACTGTAGTCCACGGACTTGTTAAGGAAAAACAGTACGCTATTGACATAATAACGCTTAATTCAAAATAAGTGTTTCGCTACAACGACGACAAAATTTTC